TGTGTGTGTGTGTGTGTGTGTGTGTGTGTGTGTGTGTGTGTGTGTGTCTATGTGTAGCTATATAATGTGTTCATGGGGAGGCCTGAGGTATGTGTTGGGAATCTCCCCCTATTCCTCTCTCCCTTACTCACTAAGGCAGGATCTCTTGCTTGACCCCAGAGCTGACCTGCATGGCTAGTGCAGGTAGTAGCCAGTTTGTCCTGGGGAATCCCCTGCCCCTACCTTCTGAGTGCTGGAATTACAGGTGGTCTGCTCTGCCCATCTGATGTTTATGTGGGTCCTGGGGAATCTAAATCCAGGCCTCAAACTGCATGGTGAGTATTTTATCCACTGACCAATTTCCCTAACCCTAAAACTTAAATTTCTAACAATATATTCGAAGCCAGTTTCTCTTAGGGTAACTACCCTGCAGGCACAGAATTTTCTGTAGTCTTAATTGTTTAGCATAGGGCATCATTGTGCATCTGTACAACAGTATAACTCTTAGGAAATGGTATGAAATTAGTTTTCATTTTAGCTTGTGTCCTCAGTTTTAATTAAGAAGCTAGTGTGTATATGCCTATAACAAAAGAAATGATGTATTAAGTTTCATACAGCCAAATAATTGAGCATCACGTATAATATAGAGCTTTAGTCCAGTGGTTCGGTTAAGAGAAAACTAAAAATCTCTTATTTAATAACTTCATGGTTACAGTTCCTTTCTGAGGTGGTTCTTGTGCTGATCCTTCCATTACGTTCCTGTAGCTGAACTGACATCCAGTTGCCATTTCGGCTCTTGAATCATTGAAATGTGTTTAGTTTGAGTTAAGAATTATTTCTAGGGTAAAATACACTTGTGTTTTGAAGATCTGTTATAAACAAATGCGTTACTAATAATGTTGATTTCAGTTTAGGATGATGATATTTTAGACATTTGGTTGAATAAAATCATATTAAAAATGTATTCCTTGTCTTATTTTACTCTTTAATGTGGCCTCTGATAAATCTATATCACACATGTGGCTTTCCTATGTTACCTTCATGATTCCGTTGGACAGCACTATTTATAGACTGCCTTTCTGTCTGAAGAGTTCAGGTACATAGCCTTTTAACTCCTTCCATTCCTGTGTTCACAGGTTAGAAAGTATTCTAAAGCATTTTGCACATTTCAGTAGCTGAATGGCATTTCTTTTATGCATTATAGGTTCACAAGTATGTTTGGTCATCACTTGACCTTCACTTAGGAGTTAAAATATAATGGTGTAAGCTAGAAGAGAAGGATAAGGAAAAATAAAGCACAAAGCAAGAGTGAAAAGAATGTTTGTGGATGATAGAAAAAAGCTGTAGACCCTAGTACTAGTATTTAGTACTTGTATATTGTAACCTAGATTATACTGTGTCCCACCCACTTTTCTTTGACAACAGGCTTTGAAAAACACTCATAGAAAGATAGATTTATTGTTTTTTCAAGTTAAGGCTATCCAATTAATACTACTTAGGAAGCTGTGGACATGGCCCAGTGATAGGACACTTGCCTAGTATGTGTGAGGCCCTGGGTTGTATTCCTCATGAACCCTGTCTCTGCAGAAGAAAATATCATGCTTTTTAAAAACTCTAACAGTTTCATTGTGAAAAGGGGTGTGTGTGTGTGTGTGTGTGTGTGTGTGTGTGTGTGTGTGTAAAGTTTCTCACCGTAAAACACTCCGAAGTTCTTTAAGCTCCCGTTTTGTACCAGTGAGGATGCTCTTTCTTTTCCTCTTAAACAATGATTGTCTCTATGCCCCATCCCACTCCCATGTTCATGTTTATTTGTTTTGTTTTGTTTCCCTTTGTTTGGTTTTCAACAAGACATTTAGTCACCCTGCTCAGGTTTATTTTCAGTTTATTAAAGAAAGAGTAGCAAACAGTGTTATGTTTTGTATTTGAAATTGTAAGGTACGTTTATTTTTTATTTTATTTTTAATTTAACTCTTTGTTTTACAGATGAGGGCAGAAGTGCAGTTGACCAAGCAGGTGGTGCACAGATTGTAATTGACCATTTAAGGTCGCTGTGCAGTATAAGAGATCCCGCCAATGAGAAGCTCTTGACTGTCTTTTGTGGCATGCTGATGAACTATAGCAATGAGAATGGTAAACAAACCTGAAAACTTGCTTTATCTATGGGGGAAATTTTAAAATCATTTTCACTATAATATATACAACAGATATTTGAAAACTGAACAAATTCACAAGTGACGCATAAAAACAAGAATAAAGTTTACAGTGTTGGAAAATTACACAATGGTCCAAAGTACAGAACTGGAACTAGGCTTTGAAGGTTGTCCGTGTTAGTACCTAAATGTAAAAATCAAATGTATGGTGTAGTTTACATTTCCTTGCTGTGAACATTTTATAAAGAAACAATGTTAAAGTAGGCTCATGTTTATGACTTTAAATACCAGGAGTATTTTTAAACAAACATTATTTTTAAATGGAAAATTAGTTACTATATTTACTTGGAAGAATAAAAATTCTTTAATCAAGCTGAGCTTTAGAATAACAGAGTTCAAAGTAAGTGTAAATAGCTCATTTTAGAAATTAGTCTTTAAAGCAGTTTGTTTTTCCTATAAGACATTTGTAGGACCTAGCAACAAATGACATAACTTTCACATAGCCTGTGACTATTTAATACAGGAGCCTTCATCTGTGCAGTGATAGCAGGTTTCCATAATGCTTTTATGTTTTAAACATGGCTCATTTCTTCTTGTCTATGTAAAATATTATGTGAATGAAATGCTCCAGTTCCAGAATCTCCTTGGCATTTAAGAGGTCTTTCTGTGGTTTTAAATTTCGCAGTTGTATATTGAATATGTAGTAATGTTTTTATACCAAATGAGCTTAAAGAAAAATTTTGGTAGTTTTTAATGTAATCAGTGATTCCTATTTTCTTTCACCTTCACTGAATCCTTTTTGAAGGATCCTAAACATGACTAGAAATAGAACAGTCTGGGAAAAATTCAGTTTTTAGTTTAGCTATGATACCTAGGTAAGTGAATGACATTAAGAGATTACATTACAGTTGCTCATGTTGCTGCTTTTTTTTTTTTTTTAACTTCATTTGAGAATCCCCTCAAGAAGATAGAAAAATGCAAGTGGGAGAACATCTTGCAGGGCCCCAAAAGAAGCCTCAGCCTTGGATATGATAGACATCTTTATGCATCTAAACTAGAAATTTTGTCTTTTGAGGATGCTGCTTTAAAATGTATGTAAAAAATATGAGAGCAAGAGAAGTGGCTTTGTTGGTCGCTCAAGTGCTGGCCACGAAAGTGCAGTGACCTGAGTTTGGAGCCTCAGAACTGACATTAAGAGGAGAGACCAACAGATCTTGAGGGTCAGTGGCCAGTCTGCCTCACTGAAAGGGGGAGCTCCTGGTTTAATGAGGGACCTTGTCTGAAAAGGTAAGGTGGAGCATGACTGAGGAAGATGTCCTCCAGGCAGCCTCTGACCTCCGCTCAGACACACACCAAATGCTGAAGGAACCTCCAAACCATGATACCATTATCATATCATAGAGTGTCATGGTGTATAGCAGAAGTGTACCGAGGTGGGGTTAATATGCAGAGTGCATGCCTGTTGTGTGTATTTCTGCCCTCGTGGGAAATACGCTTGACAAATAACTTAGATGCTGGGGAAGCTATATTAAATTTTTTTTTTTTTTTTTTTTTTGTAAAATTGTTGGGCAAATGATGCTGTTCCAAAAGCCGTGGAGAAATGCTTCTTTCAAAACTTAATAGAAAACAAAATAAAACTTAGTAGATAAACAAAAGTTATTATCAGACTATTCAAGGGACATGGCAAAGGTCACACTTGTCATCCCTTCTTCCTGTGTATTGAGCACCCTTTGAAGTGATTCTGATAATTTATGTTCTGATCCTTTTTTTTTTTTTTTTTTTGCATTACAATTAAGCATCTTTATTTTTGTGCTCATGTTTTACTTAAAATTTCTGTTCAAAGACTTAAATATTAGAAACTCTTCAGTAACATGAGAACAGTTAGGATTGATCTTATGTACCCAGCAACCAGATGAGTCACTAAGACCCGAAAAACACAGGAAGTACTCTGTATCAGCACTTAATGGAAGTTTCTTTTTAGATGTGTTTTTTCCATTCAACTTTAGTACATACCTCTGTGCTAATGTGTGAGGAGAATATAAGTAATAAACACATCCCTTTTGCTCCATCGGGGGGGAGGGGATGTTTCTTTGAGTCCAATAATATATATAATCGTTATGCACAGTTAAGAAATGTTTAGCTACATTTTTTTAAATTTCAGATAAGATAGTATTGAAACAGATCACAAAGAACTCTTGACACAGGCCTTCTCATGAAAGCATTTCTATCTGAATTGTGTTCTAAAGTGCATTGACACTGCAGTATATTCATTCGGATACTTGCGTCTGTCCTGACACTGTCACTATGTTAAGGTTTTAAGTTCAATACAGGACAAAGCAGTTTCCTACACACAAGAGGGTGTATGTGCTATGAATGTATTTGCTCGACGGAAACATTTCTGTACCACTTGGTAAACTATATACACAACTGGAAGTTTATTAGTTTAAAAATTTAGACTAGGCCTGGAGAAATGGCTCAGTGGTTAAGAGCACTGTCTGTTCTTCTAGAAGTTCTGAGTTCAGTTCCCAGCGACCACATGGTGGCTTACCACCATCTATACTGGGATGTGATGCCCTCTTTCTGGCATGTAAAATGTAAAGTAAATAATTTAAAGGTCTGGAGAGATGGCTCTGAGGCTGAGAACACTGGTTGCTCTTCCAAAGGTTCTGAGTGGCTCATAAACATCTGTCCTGTTATATGGTGCCCCCTTCTGGTGTGCAGGCAGAATGCTGTATAAATAATAAATATATTTTTAAAAGTTTAGACTAGCTTAGGACTATGCTTTTAAGCTATGAGCTATTCCTATTTTTACCCATTGATGAAGCAATTAAGATTTTTTATAGTACAGTGTCTGGCTTATAAAAAGGATACTGCTGAGCCAAAAATGTTAGAGTGATAATTATAAAATCATATTTGAAGGTGACAGAAATAAATTTATTTACTAAAAGTCATTAAATTTTTTAAAAATCATACTCATTTTTTAATGTGGCAAACAACACTCAGAATTGTTTAGCCCTGCAGGGTAACCTGAATATTGATTTGGTAGAAAAGCTTGTTAAGGATTTGGCATTCAGCTTGAGCAAATGTGGTAAGCGTCCTGTAACTGGATACAACTCGAGTTTTAACTGAGTGGCTCAGATTTTTAATTATAGATATTTTATAGTGTTAATTTTTTGAAGATTTTTATTCCTGGTGTTTTTTTCTTTTGTTTTGTTTTTTTGTTTTGTTTTTTGCATAGAAAAGATTTTATTGTAATATTGTTAATACGATGACAAAATTGGGAGGGTGGCCAAAAAAGTTGATAATTCTCATGTAATGAAATGCTACGTAACTACTAAAAATACTGACTTAGGAGGCAAAGGCAAGTAGATCTTTGTGAGTTAGCTTTGTCTGTATAGCAAACTGCAGGCCAGCCAGTGCTGAAGAGTGACCCTTGGACTCATTAAAAAAAAAAAAGAAAGAAAGAAAGAAAGGAAGGAAGGAAGGAAGGAAGGAAGGAAGGAAGGAAGGAAGGAAGGAAGGAAGGAAGAAAGAAAGAAAGAAAGAAAGAAAGAAAGAAAGAAAGAAAGAAAGAAAGAAAAAAAGACCAAAACAAAAATCTGAAGTTATTGTCTTCATCACTGCTCTGCTGCTGTGAAGAGACAGCATGATCATGGTTAATTCTTATAGAAGAAAGAGTTTAATTTAATTGAGGCTGGCTTAACAATTTCAGAAATTTAGTCTGTTACCATCATGGCAGGGACCACACTGGCGTCATTGTGCTAGAGAAGGAGCCGAGAGTTCCACACCCACATCTGAAGGTAGCAGAAAGAAAAGAAGCCGTTCCTGGTGTGTTAAGACTTGCTAAACCACTGCAGCTTCAGAACACAGAGCATGTTTGCTCCACTGTCCAGCTGTTAGCACAGGCGTTCCCTGACTCTGTCACAGCCAGTCCGTCATACACCCGACAACAGCGTATGTGGGCATGACGCACAGTACACCTGTCTCCTGAATAGTGTGTCGAGCGCCTTGAAGTACCACTTACTTCACCATGACCGCGTAGCTGATAGAGAAATGTGGCCCTCTGCTTCTCAAGCTGGCATCACAAGACAGACATGCTGCCTAGGCAGAAACCAAAATGTCAGGTGCTGCTAGTTCCTCCTGAATCCATACCACTTCTTTGCCATCGTGAGTCAGGGATCTTAAATCAACCATTTGAAGTCAGACTATCTGTAGTACAGTGTTTGGGTACATAGTTCCTCGGGTTGTATAGTATCCAGATACCAGATACCTTAATTTTACTGAAAGTTTTGATTAATAAAATCAGTAGTTGAAGGAAAACTGTGCTGTCTAAAAGCAGCAATCCTTCATTATGTGTTTGAAACACAGTAAATTCTTTATTGTTGTGTTAGTAGATATTCTCTATCTGGATAAGGAGCAGGGAAGGACGCTGCATACAAAGAACAAGTACCATTTCCCATGGTATCCGCGAACTTAGGAAGTCTGTATATGTGTACCTGGAAACTACAAACATAATCTTAAGTAAACCACTTAGAGATCAGAATAACACATTGTGTGGGAACCTGTCAGTTCACGCTCACCCTTGTCAGCTACAAATAGGCATGTCAAACCAGCAAGTAATAGAAACTCTGCTTAAAGGTTTAACATTTTTCTCTTGGTTAGCTGGTTGAATTTTTCAACAGGGTCTCATTATGAAGCCTGGTTGGCCTGAAACTTTCTCTATGGACTAAGCTGTCTTCAGACTCACAGAGATCCACTGCCTCTTTCTCACTGGTATTAGGATTAATGGTGTGTACCACCATTACTGGCTTAATATTTTTATTAATACGGTTGTGCTAGAGACGCAAAATAGAAGGGGAAGATTGTTAACAACTTTGAAACAAAGTTCTAAATGGTGATAAGCAGTAAAGGCTACATTTCTTAAAATGCAAACTGTTATAAAATGAAGGTAATAAACATGCTACCAAGAATAGGCTTCTT